AAGCAGAAATTGTTATAATTCTGATAGCAGATTTTTGCTGGGTGATGATGGACTTAAGGTGGTTTGCAGTGGTTGAACCCCATGCACAGATACCATAATCAAGATAGGGATAGATTAGTGCATAATATAGAGAGATGAGAGCAGAGTAAGGCACATAATATCTGATTTTGGAGAGTATACCAACTGTTTTAGAGACTTTCTTAGTTATGTGTTGTATGTGGGTACTGAAGTTGAGTCTCTTGTCTAGCAATAAGCCAAGAAACTTTCCATAATTTTTATTACTAATGTTTACATTGTCTATCTGAAGCTGAGTTGCATTTGTAGTTTTGCTTCCAAATAAGATGTAGTAGGTCTTTTTTATGTTACGTGTTAGTTTGTTGGTTGACATCCATAAGTGGACTTTTTTTAGTTCATTATTAACAACATTATTTAGTGTATGTGGGTTGGGGTTAGAGTAGATGATGGTAGTATCATCAGCAAACAATATAGGTTTCAGAATGTTAAAGACATTAGGCAGATCATTGATATATATAAGAAATAGGAGAGGTCCCAAGATGCTGCCCTGTGGAACTCCAACGGTTATTGGTAGAGTGGGGAGAGGTTATATTATTGATGACTACACACTGGTGTCTATCACTAAGATATGATTTGATATAGTATGGTGCATGGCCTCGGATTCCATAATGATGGAGTTTACGTAAGAGGTAGTTGTGATTAACAGTATCAAAGGCCTTTCTCAGGTCAATGAAGAGTTCAATCGGAAACTCATTTTTGTCAAGGGCTGAGAAAATTTTATCAAGGAGACTAATAATTGCATCGTTGGTACTCTTTTGGGAGCGGAAGCCAAACTGACAGGGGCTAAGTATGTCGAATTTTACGAGGTAGGAGTAGAGCTGTTTGTAGATATTTTTTTCAAATATTTTTGATAGTATGGGTAGGTTTGATATTGGTCTATAATTGTTTATGTCTGCCAGATTACCTCCTTTATGAACTGGCGTTACTCTTGCTTTTTTTAAGGATGTCAGGGAAGGTATGACACTCAAGGAATTTGTTGAACAGCAGACCTATGGGTGGCGCAAGGGCATGGGAGGCGCCCTTGTATACAATGGATGGGATTTCACTGATGTTCCCAGATTTGGTTTTTAGTGAGTGTATGATGGACACAACATCTTTCGGGCTGACTGGTGAAAGGAGAAGAGAGTTTGGATAGCTGCCTGAGAGATATGTGTTGATATGTATCTGAGTACAGAATTACGAATGTTTACACGTCTAGTTATATTATTAAAATGTGTGAAACATTATTAGTATGATTTTGTTTTGTTTGAAAGTGGTTACTTTCATAGGTATTATACTAGTTAAGAATATTATTAATCTTTCGGCAACCCCTCGTAAGAGGCAGATGGGGGGATTGTCAGTCAGTGGAACGTCAGTAGGAGCTGGAGGTCTGTTCTGGAAACATGTAATTATACTTTAAGTTAAGTCACGTAATTTCTTTCTTGTTCTAGTGTAGGTGAAAGTCATCTGAGGAGACATATATATTGTTACAGCCATACCTTGAACTAGGATTATATTGCAGTGATTATATTATACCATATAAAGAGAAATATATATATAATTTTACTTTTATATACAGTTGTGTTTATTCTTCCTTTTTTTATTTAAATTCTGTCTGCTAGGAGTATCTTGGTGTATCAAATACATGCACTGTGGCCTTACCCTTGATATGTGCCATTGCTGGAAGCTGGTAGATGCACGAGCCTTGCTGAACTAGGTAGATAACATCTACTTTTAACTTTGTCTCTCTTTTCCTCTCTAACTTTGTCTCTCTTTTCCTCTCTCTAACTTTGTCTGTTTTCCTCTCTCTGTGTCTCTGCTCTGTCTGTTTCTCTCCTATCTCACTGTCCGTCTCACCTCTCTCTCTCTCTCTCTCTCTCTCTCTCTCTCTCTCTCTCTCTCTCTCTCTCTCTCTCTCTCTCTCTCTCTCTCTCTCTCTTCTCTTTGTTTCTTTCCTATCTTCTTCTGTGTCTCTCCCTTTGTTTCTCTCCTGTTTTTCTGTCTCTGCATCACTCTCCTTTTCTCTCAGGCTGTCTCTATCTTTCTAAATGCAATAAAGATAACTATACCTAATAATTCCAATAATTAATAATTAGAATTAACGTTTTAAAAATCTTTGCTCTAAAACGTTATATCATAATAATAAAAAAAGCGTTATTAAAGCATTATGATCTCACGTTTTATCATGATTTTTAAAAATTCAAAAAAAGTGATAACACGTAATTTAAAACGTCAATAAAACAATAAAATTACGTTTTAAATGGTTTAAAAAACGAGAAAATGTTTGCTGGGAAAGTGTTACTTGTTGCGTCAAGCAGCTGGGTGGTTGGTGACAACCTTACACAGGGTGGTGGTGGCAAGTGTGATTCACTCGGGGTGTGACACACGTGATGGGCGAGGTGGCAGTAGGCGGGAAACACTTAAGTCCACAGAGAGGGCCGAAATAAAGTTATCTCACTCAGAAATTCATCTGTCCACTGGGAAATACTTGCTAATCCCTCCTATCTTGAGATGATTTCGGGGCTTTTTTAGTGTCCCCGCCGCCCGGTCTTCGACCAGGCCTCCACCCCCAGGAAGCAGCCCGTGACAGCTGACTAACACCCAGGTACCTATTTTACTGCTATCTAACAGGGGCATAGGGTGAAAGAAACTCTGCCCATTGTTTCTCGCCGGCGCCTGGGATCGAACCCAGGACCACAGGATCACAAGACCAGCGTGCTGTCCGCTCGGCCGGCCGGCTCCTAGATTACTTTCGTAGCAATACACAAACGGATGTTAGTGATGGACGCTGATGAACACTTAGGAAATATGTTGTATCTGCTGGGTTAACACATGTGGTAAGAACAATTATTATCTCACGTTTTTACTATTTGTCTTGCTATCGATTTGCAAAAGGCACGGACCAGATTCTAACAGGCTGGAGACAGAGAGGCAGAGCAATGGTCAAAAGAGGGAAATGTGGATACAGTTAATCCTATGGATTCTGCAGTTAGTAATTCAGAAGACGGTTCCCCAGAAGAAACAGGCCTTGAGCACCAGTTGAGAAAATTAGGAAGAGTCATACGACTGCCTGAGAGACTTAACCTGAAGGGGAAGAGTTTAATTAAAAGGCGAGGAATGTTAGGATTAAATTATGTGTAGGATTAAGGTCACTTAAGGTTAAGTTTGTAACATTAAGTTCCTGTGCTCATTTGAATACATAGCTCCTATACCCGGTGACGTCATTGTTTGTTGTTGAATAAACGTTATGTGGATCACGCGTTCTTTTCTCTTCCTGCCAAATTATAACTCACTCACTTAAATTAAACCAAAATTTAATTATCTCTAAATTCCACCGTAGTTCCCAATGACTGCTTCATTCTTGTATCGTTGGTGTGATTCATGTTCAAATTAATTAGGGAATAACCAGATCCAATATGTCTGACTCCTCTTATTGACACAAAGTTAAATGTCGTATCGCAGCTCGGACACGAACATTGATTAGCACAAAAAGTTTGGCCACTACCAAAACACGATTACGACCACCTGTCTAGGTGCTCCTCTGACCAGACGCCTGGCATAGAACAGTAAATCCAATCACTTCGCAGACCAGTCTCAATTCATGTCAGTCCTAAATAACATAAAGCTATCTTCATAGCTATAACTACTGCAGTTTTCAGATCTTTGGACATTTCTTAGTACTTGTAAATCTTTTTATAATTGCATTGTTCATAGTCAGTGTCAGTATTTCTTTCTTGCAAGCCTCATTGGCCAATAGATCTTCAAAGTCATGGTTATGGGATTTTAACTTTCTGATTCCCTAAAATAAGGACATATGCATCTCACTAATGCATATGTCATTATGGTTTAGGATTTCACATACAAAAATATATATTTTGAGCACTATCTTCTGTAACAATAACAATAAAGATACGCTAAGTCAGCTACTGCTTTCATTTTGGACATTCCACATACCCTATCAAGGCAGCATTTGTAAACAACTCAGCTAACTTATGTTGTGTATAATTCCCTGGACAGAGAATTCCCATTCTGTAATTTAAGTGTTAAATTCTCACATTAGCAAAGTAACAAGAGTTTTTTTTTTTTTAAATCGCTGATACTTGTTATATTTAATCTATTGAGAAGTTCGCAAGTGTTCCTTCCGAGGTGCTGTGATTATCTAGGCCAGAGGCGCACACGGGTTTCAACACCATTATTGAGGACAAGAGTACGGTACCATTGAGTAACTATCGGGAAATTTGTCAGCCCTCGTGGTGATGTTGTCGTTATTGTAGGAGATAATGTCTGGGAGAACATAGTAATGAAGCACATGTTGTCACTGCTCCAACTAACGTGTCTCCAACTACAACAACCATTGCATCAACTACTTCTTGCATATAGCTAGTGTATTTCATATATAAGGTTTGAATCTATAGTTATCAATAGCATTTGTGGTCTATATTTATATAGAATAGCATATGTGGTGATTGGAGAAGAATATGAGGTTCTTAGAGGGGAATATTTGTTGTTTATATGAGCGGGTATGTTGTTTGAAGGAGCATATGTGGTATTTGCAAAGTCGGTGTAATAACAAAGATTAAAACGACTGGAGTTTGTGAAGTGAGAAAGTCGCAACTCGTCTTCCAATACAACAGTTTATAAAGCCACTTATAAGGCATTTGGATAAATACTCCAATCTTTGTACACAAGCAAGTCCATATTTTGTGCTATTGAAAATGCTTTTCACAAAAACAGAAACTGCAACCAAGGAACAACAAATTAAGACCAAAACAACCTAACCTAACGCAGGGCACACCAAATGTATACAAGGTTTTACATAGTGCAGATATTCACTGCATTAAGATACATTATGTTAACCCTATGATACGTTTGGTTAGGCCTAAGGTAGGTTAGTATAATATTCATTTCTCTGTTTTTGTGAGAAGCATTTTGATAGCACAAAATGTGAACCGCAGTTAATATACAATAGTTTTTTATATGTAGTATATTGCAGCAGGTACTAACTGAATGGAAGATAAGTGAACAAATTACTAATTAATTAGTTTTGGTCTATCTGAAAAGATGGTTGATATGGAAGTAACCCAGATATCGTATTTACAATGAATCTGCGGGATAGAGGAGAACAGAAAAATTAAATTTTTGTCACAAAAACTTTATCTGGCAATAAATAATTAGTTCCCAGAACTGTTTCCTTGTATTTGCTTGGCCTCAATAGGTTCCTCATCCATGTATTTAACTAGGTCACTGTGATTAGGGTTGGGGGTATAAGTGTTGGCTGAAAGGCAGCAGGAGCAGCAGTACACTTACATCCACGGCAAGCTTCCACAAGTGAACAGAGCACATTTGTTCAAAGCACAACTTCACCCCTGCATCTATTACAGCCTACCTGTACCATCTACATTACCACACCTGCTCCTGGCACCATAACACATCTGCTCCAACGTATACCTCTCTGGCACCACCGGCAGCGACACAAGTACAGCAGAAGCCACAGTTAGACGAACGACCAGCTGCACCACATTAGCGTCACATATCAGCTGTACAGTCTTCAATATGACCATGCGGCTGCTGCAGGTGTCGCTATCGGTAAGAATATCCACATGTGATATATTTAGATTACATAATCACGTTACTGATAATTTTTTGAGTTAAATGTTTCATATATATGTATACAGGTACTCTTGTGTCTATCATTTTTAGGGCTGTCAGTATATCTCCTAAACCTGACCATACAAACAGTATATCTCCTTAACGTGACCATACAGAAATAGTTTACCTTTATCAATTAGAATTAATCGAAGTATGCCGCAAATTTTTAAATTTGAAGGAAATAAATTAAAACACTATTGCGTTTATAGAAAATGTTAGTCTAAAAGGAAGTTCACAGTTGTGGCCAAATGCAAGTTGCAAAATTGAAGAACTTTTTAATGCACTTTTTAAACATCTTTAGGATGTTGCAGGCAATTAAAAAAATTTTGTACACTATTGTCAAAATTACAAAAATATGTCTCAAAAAAGTGTCATAAAATCATTGTTCATCGATGCCTTATTAGAAAATATTAATGTATTTTGACGAATCAAGTATCCGAATGCAATCAACAGTACGAATTATTTGAATTAAATTTATCAAACTCAGACAAATGTTTAACTAACTTGAATTAATTAAGAGATCAGAGACACTTTTTTGTGTTATCAATTTCACCAGAAACCGAAAAAGCAATAAATCTTTTCCCTGAGGGGCCACCATCTTTCTAATAGCTTCACGGGGACAGGAAGCCGGGGGGCTTTTCAAAGATCTCCCTATTATTCCTGAGGATTTTTTCTACCTGGATTTTGAACTGGAGAAATATCTCGGCATATACGACTTTGAGTTGTAGGCAATTCCACGGGTTAATAACACTTTGGGTGTAAAAACATCTCTTAAAACTATATTATTGCCCTACGAACAAATTTAAATGACAGTTCATTAGGGTATTAATTAAACTTTTCTATAATATTATTTAATTTTACTCAAACTATTATTTATCATTACGAATGTGTAATTATCACAATCCATATTATGAAATATATAATACATTATATAATTGTTAGGCCAAACGTTTCATAATATTGGAATATTTGGTATTTTGGTATAACGAAACTTCTTTGTTATATCCCTGTTGTTTCAACACTGACAACTATAACAACACAAATATAACACTGACAACTATAACAACACAAATATAACACTGACAACTATAACAACACAAATATAACACTAACAACTATAACACTAACAAATATATCACTAACAACTATAACACTAACAAATGTAACACTAACAACTATAACAGTAACAGCTATAACACTGACAACTATAAGAACACTGACAACAATAACAGTGAAACTATAACAACATTGATATCTATAACAACGATGACAGTTATAACACCGACAAATATTACACTGACTACTATTACAACACTGACAACTATAACAACGTTGACAACTATAACAACACTGACAACTATAACAACACTGACAACTATAACATCACATTCAATTATAACATTGACAACTATATCATCACATTCAATTATAACACTGACAACTATATCATCACATTCAATTATAACACTGACAACTATAACAATAACATCAATAACACTGACATCTATAACAACACTGAAAATTATAACATTGACAACTTTAACAACACTAACATCTATAACACCAACAACTATAACAATACTCACAACTATAACACTAACAGCTATGACAACAATGACAATTATAACAATGTTAACTATAACATTGAAAACTATAACTCTTACAACTATAACAACACTAACAACTATAACATCACTGACAATAACAATACTCAAAACTATAAAATTATAATTGACAGCTATAATACTGACAATATTAACATGGTGGATCTCTGGTGCAGGTGGCGTGGGTGGCAGCGTTGCTCTGCGTCACCAGGGTCTCTGCTGGGACCTGTGACCCGGTGTGTACTGACTTGGCTCCTCGGAGTAAGACTGTGGATCCTTATGACTGTACTCGTTATTACATATGTATAAGCGACACTGAATCGTCAACCGATTCTTTCCCTTGTCCGGTTGGTACATCCTTCAACAGTTCAACCCATGACTGTACTGGTGCCCTCCCATGTACAAATACCTGCAAGCTACTCCCTTGTCCTACAACATGCAAAAGCGACCCGGGCACGTTCCCTGACACAACGAATTGCAGCAGCTATTACATTTGTACGGGCGGCAGTACTCTAGGGCCCTTTGAATGTCCCACTGTCACACCTTATTTTGACAGCGTCGCCCAAACCTGCAGTGGGAGCCAATCCGTGTGCTGCAGCGACCCATGTGTTGCCTACTGCCAGACCGGGGAGGTGCAGACCCAAGACCCCTTCGACTGTCACAAGTTCTACTACTGCATCGCTGATGGGCCAGTCGATCCCCTGCATCACGGTACTTGTCCTTCAGAAGCCAACTTTGATGTTTCTGAGCATAAATGTGTAGCCGGCGCTGATTGTAACACACTGTGTGAAGTCACCCCGGCTCCCGGAACTGACACGACACCAAAGGGTACGACAACCCCAGCAACAAGTGTGACCACCCCAGCAACAAGTGTGACCACCCCAACAACTACTAAGACCACCCCAGCAACGAGTACGAACACCCCAACTTCCACCATTCCAACACCGACCACTCCAGGTTGCCTGGACTCTATGACGTGTACATCAAAGGGATACTTCCCCATGTGCACGACGTGTGTGCCTCAGTTCTTCGACTGTCGCTACGTCGGCCAGCCAGCCACCGTTAACACCTGCATAGGAGACTTGGTCTTCAACCCGGACCCCGCCAACCCTTACTGTGTCTTGCCTGATAAATGTCCCTATACACCCACTTTGACCTAGCCACCCACTTTTCAGAGTTTACCACCCACTGGCCTCTTCACACCACTCAGGAGTCTCACTCCACCACCCACGTAACTGTACAATCAGTTACATCACGGAACTACCACCAACATAGACAACCACATTCACCCCCATATATGCGCGATTGATGCTTGAATAAAAATGTAAATACAACTATTCACAATATAGCACATGCTATTATAACACAAAATATTGTATAATGTATGAGAATATTTATTGCTTGTAGCAACATATTTATTTCTTGTAACAAATATTCTATAATCTATTTAATTTCTTGTAACCAATATTGCAGCTTGTTTGATTTGTAGCAAATTATGTATAGCTTGTATTAAAAATATATATTATTTGTTGCAAATAATATAGAAATTGCAGCTTGTATAATTTATAATTTTGTTTTAACCTTAAAAAAATATATTATTAATTGTAGCAAAAAAATGAAGTGTTTGCCTTCCCTAAAAAGACTAACTGAATGATAAGAGATGTCATGGCTTGCCAGAAGAAAGCATCTGGTCTCAGGCATGTGGGACAGTCATACGTGGAATTGCATGTGGGACAATCATATGGGCACAGGCACGTTGGATACTCATGTGGGGATAGGTATGTAGAACAGGCCTTAGAACATAGGCATGGGGAACAAGCATTTATGCAGAAACATGTGGGGCAACCATGAGGTCACAGGCATGTGGGAAAGGTGTAGTAATCTAAACATTATATTTAACTCCCAGAATCCATTAGTCAGTAGAACTGCAAGAGTAGATTATAGAATGTTACAAGGACTGTATTAGCGAGGTCAGAGTCACATTATGTGAGATCACACTTAGAGGCTAGGTAGAGGTAACCAGAGCTCAGATCACCCAATAGTATTGTGAATGATGCTGCTGACTTTTGCCGTGTCCCCTACATTAGGAACTGTGTCATAAGATACGAGGTGATCATGATCCTAGGTTCTAGGAATTTTGGAGTAGTTGCCATGCCTCACCTGGACGTGGCGTGAGAGGAAAAGTAAGTCATTCAGTTGCAAGATCAAAGACCATACAGGTCCTTTCTATTGAGCATACTCACGAACCGAGTGCGGAGTTGTTGATGGGTGCGAGAGTATAGGTAATGACTAACCCACGAGCTGGACTATGGGAACAGAAGTGGGCTTCTTCAAGGAAAATTGAGAGTTTCTAACAATAAGTTCCGGATCAAGCAGGATGTTGTGGATGTGTGTTCCTGCGGTGTGTGAAACTCTATCCCCACTATATCAACATTATTATCTAAGAAATTATTATCTATTATATCAATATCATATCAAAATCATATATGAATCATATCAGAATCACTTCAGATTCATTAAAATCCTACATCGGGATCCTACATGACAATGCCACTATGATCACGCACACCAAAGGGCCCATGGTGCCTACGTGACTCTGTGCATGATTTCTCAACGATCTAGAAGCTTCGAGAACAAAATCTAAATTAAAATCTAGTGGAATAATCAATCGATTTCTGGTGAGGATTAAATCAAATCCTTAATAAGAATCCAGAGTACTATCAAGTACTACCAATAATCTTTAAATCCTATATCTAATTATATTATAATCACATCTTATCTCAATTATATGTCTGGACAATACAATTATTCAATCAATATACATTGAAGGCTACCCCCTGCCTAGCGAGGAGGGCAGAGCTTGTTCGGAAAGGAAGCATCCTGAGCAGCTCACGGGGCAGATCGTTTTGTTTACAACCAGTGCAAACGCGTAACGGAGCCTTCCGAATATTTTCAGTAAAGGGCACCACACTAACTTATCATTATCACCAGTGATTACTCTCTAGAAACTGGGGGAGTACCTGGACTATATATATAAGGAAAAATTCCTAGTACTTTATCTAAGTACGAGTGAAGAGAGTGGTTCACAGCAGAGGCCGCCTCCACCGCACTTAATCGTATCCTAATGCAAACGCAATTAAGCACATAATCAACTAGCAAAGCTACCACAATATTAAACCGCAAAGCTGTAACATAAAAATAAAGTTCCTAAGCTCTACAAGAGAGGTTATCTAGTCTGGCAACTTGTCAGAAGGCACCGGCACTCAAATTGGATAAAACATAAGTATATTGAGTGTTATTGTAGTGAGTTGATTGGCCAATTGCTTGCTTGTATAACCTTAATCTATCCTATTAATCTGTTTGTCGTTACAGCGTGGAGCAATGGAGCAATACCCCAGATTTCAGTAAATTTTGATTAATCTTTCAGCAACTGAATCTTTCAATGCTATGTGGACACTCAGTCATTGAAAGTCAGTCAAGCTTGACTAAACTTTTTCATAAAAATTTGTATATATATATATATATATATATATATATATATATATATATATATATATATATATATATATATATATATATATATATATATATATATATATATATATATATATATATATATATATATATATATATATATATATATATGTGTGTATATATATATGTATATATATAATTCATCACATACATTAAGTTAACCATAGCTAACTAAATTATCTTTAATTTATCATATCAGTTTATCATATTGCATATAAATTCTTGTACCAAGATTCCAGTGCACTTTGACCACATTTAAGGTCCTCTGATTGCATATTTACATATGTCATATTCTATAATGCAAATTATTGTGTTTATTAGTATGTGAATATTGGCTGTTGTAATTATAGAGCTAGGCTGGACTATGTCCATGTTTAGGTTCTTGATATAAACAGAACCTGTGTTCAGTTATAGAACTGAATTATATAATTTTATCCTTGTATTAACAATACAAGCTGATGTGTTGAATTATCTGCAGGTGGATTGAAGATCTCCAATCAACTTCTCCATTCACCCATTCACCCACCTGCCCCTTACAGCCCAGTCTGTTATTAGGACAAGAAGAGCTACGATTTACAACCCTGGCTGGTGACTTTAGTTGTATTAATTTTGCAAACAGTAATTTTTAATTTAGTACAGTACAAGTCCTAAGTAGTTCTCCTCTTATATAAATCCCGATATTTTTCCCACATGCGGGCCACTCCAAACAACAGTCTGTTAAACCAAGCTATCACAAGACAAGCCTGGCCCGAGGTTGGGATTGGGGAGTAGATAAGCTTCCAGATCCCACTCCAGGTATATTCCCGATAAACATTTTGAAGATAGGGTATTAGGACGTTAATAATAACATACGATGAGCTGAGCAATACTGGCTTGTTGTGGACCAAGTTCTGGTTGACCTTATTGACCATGTGTTAGTCCAGGGTGTGGGCCAGTTAGGGTTCAGGGTATGGACTGGCTAGTCCAGCGTGATGACTAGTTAAAGTCCAAGATGTCAACCAGTTAGGGACTAGGGTGTCAACCAATTAAGATCTGGGGTGTTGACAAATGCTGTATGCTGTGTCTTATGAGGGTGTAGAGGTTGTCGGTTGTATTGTATAGGGTGTATTTTGTGAAGGATGTGATGAGGGTGTATATTCAGATGAGGAGTCACAATAAGGTCGCTGAAAAATGTTGACCAAACCACACACTAGAAAATGAAAAGATGACGACGTTTTGGTCCGTCCTGGAGCATTACCAAGTCGATTGTGATAATGGTCCAGGACGGACCGAAACATCGTCGTCTCTTTACTTTCTTGTGTGTGGTTTGGTCAACAGGGTGTATAATGTCTACACTATCACATTCAGCTACTTCCTCACTTGCTTCATTAATGACCATTTTGTGTTACATGTATATCTCTAAGATTTACCTGGGTTAAAGGATGAAGTACATACAAGTGTCAGAACAAGAATTGCCAGTTATATATTTAATACAAAGGTGAAACAAACCCCCTCACAGGGACCCTTTGTCATAGAACATACCAGGTAATTGCCCTGTGTTATGGAGGGAGAAAAGGAACAGTATCTTACTGAGAGAGACACAGATGGTATAATGTCACTGGTCTCTACAGTGCCCCACTTCCTTATAACAGGTTTCAAGAGTGAGAGTATCATTTTCTCTTCCCTGCACTCCTCTACCCTTGCACTGAAGTCAGCATTTAACCCCCGCATGCACCAGTCAAAAGACAGGTACCTCAACATCTCCCCTGAGGACTCACTAGGTTAGTGCTCAGTCCCCTTAGAGGGTGCGAGGTAGAGCGTGAGGTGTCAAGGTGATTATATGTGACAACCCTGGTCACCCTGCTCTTTCAGTAATTATCGGGGTAATCACCTTCCTCCTGTGCCGAAGGAAAAAACTTCAGGTCTCTGCACTCCACAGTAGCTCTAAAAGATATAAGGCTACACTCCCTGATCTTTCCAAATTTGTCTCACTCCGTGGTTAATATATCAATACTTAGGTTTTCAAATAAGTCAGACGTGGCATAGATTGGAATGGAAGCCAACGGAAACAAAGCCTTTGAAATTAACAAAACATTTACTGAGAAAAGATATACACTAGGAAATAGTAGCTTGTCCCTGTTAGCCTCTAACTAGGCAATTAATTTTACTCATAACATTAATATATAACTCATAAACAAACAAGAGGATTTGTAATTAGTCTCTATTTGAATCACAAAAAACATTCAACAGCAATAACCTTTCAATATTACTAGGCTTCTCTTCATTAAATATATTACTTCACTGTCTCACTTCATTGTAAACATAAGTAAACTTATATGTATATAAGACTTCATATGTATATATGAAGTCGCAGCCTGCCACATAATATTATATGAATCCTATTGCAGTCTGCCACATAATATTATATGAATAAAATTATATCAGTTTTCTTTAGAACTTCTAATCAACAAAAGAGGGATGGCGAGGACAGATTACTTATCTAAGAGCAGCTGCTGATGTTTCCCACAAAAGCCTAGACTCCCTTGCTTTGTTTAACTTCCTGTAGACGTCACTGCTCCCTCAGCTGATCCGTGATGTCACACGTATCGTTGGTCACCTCTTATTCCTCCAACAATATCCTGGACGTTGTGTAGATCATTCATTAAGGTCCTCTTCCAATGTAATCCTCCTATGTCTCCGTCCCTTTGATAGCACTAGAGGGACGTGTCTTGGGAAGGTCCACCGTCAACATCAACGTTGAATTCCCACAGGCTCTTGTCGCC